GAAAGTCTAGATCTTAAGCTTTCTTTTGAACATTAATTCATCAAGATAACCTCAAAATTCATCAAGATATAAATTATAAAAGTTAAGGAATTAATTTTTTTTAAAAAATGTCAATCTGCTTGATTTCTATTGGCAACAGCCGATTTACTTTAAAGAATCTTGTTACAAAACTTACGAGCTATTGCAGTGTTATAAAGGTTGAACTAGTTTGTATTGGAATTAACAGTCGTGTTTTCCTGTAAAATCTTTTTACAATACTTACTCACTATTGCAGCGCCACGCAGTATGTTATTAAGTTAGTTTGTATTGGGATTTCTATCATGATTTACTGTCACAAAACTTACAGACTATTGCGGCGACATGTATGTGGTTAAGGTTGAATTAGTTTATGTTGAAATTAACAATCGTGGTTTCTATCATGATTTACTGTAAAAAATTTTGTTACAAAGCTTACGAGCTATTGCGGTGACACACAGTATCAGGTATGTGGTCAAGGTTGTATTGGAATTAACAATCGTGAGTTTTAATCATGATTTACTGTAAAAATTTTGTTATTGCAAAACTTACCGAATATTGCGGTGACATATAGTATGTAGTTAGTTTGTATTGGAATTAAAAGTCGTGATTTCTATCATCATTACAAAACTTACGAGCTATTGCGGTGTGGTTAGGGTTGAGTGAGTTTGTATTGGAATTGACAGTGGTATTTTCTATTATGATTTACTGTAAAAATCAGTACAAACTTACGAGCTATTGCGGTGATACACAGTATGTGGTTAAGGTTAAATTAGTCTGCATTGGAATTAACATCATGATTTACTGTAGAAAATTTTGCCACAAAACTTACAGACTATTGCAGTGACACAAATGTACGTGGTTAAGGTTGAGTTAGTTGTAGGATTTACTGTAAAAAATTTTACTACAAAACTTACCGACTATTGCGGTAACACCGTAGTTGAGTTAGTTTTGTATTAAAATTAACAGTCGTAATTTCTATCAGGATTTACTGTAAAAATTTTGTTACAAAACTTACAGACTATTAAGGTATTGGTATGTGATTAAGAGTGAGTCAGTATTGTTGTGACTTCTATCATGATTTACTGTAAAAAATTTCGTTACAAAACTTACGGGCTATTGCGGTAACACACAGTATATGATTAAGGTTGAGTTAGTTTGTATTGGAATTAATAGTTGCGATTTCTATCATGGTTTACTGTAAAAAATTTTGCTACCCGCTATTGTGGTGACACACAGTATGTGGAATTAACAGTTATGATTTCTATCATGATTTACTGTAAAAAAATTTTGTTACAAAACTTACTCGCTATTGCGGTGATACACAGTATGCATTTGGTTGAGTTGTATTGGAATTATCTGTTGCGATTTCTCAAAAATTTTGGTACAAAATTTACTAGCTGTAGTGACACAGTATGTAATTAAGGTTGAGTTAGTTTGTGTTGGAATTGGCAGTCGTGATTTCTTTCATGATTTCTTTCATGATTTACTGTAAAAAATTTTGTTACAAAACTTACGAGCTATTGTGGTGACACACAGTATGTGATTAAGTTAGTTTGTATCGAATTAACAGTCGGATTCTATCATGATTTACTGTTACAGACTTACAGACTATTGTGGTGACACGCATATACAGTTGAGATGCTATTTGCTTCTGGCAAATTTAAAACCTAAAATTTACAAATGTAAATTATACTTACTACTTTCTAACCAATTCTTGGGCTTCTATTGCCCATCCATCATTAGGCCTAATTTTTAATAATTTCTCTAAGTCAGAAATCGATTCATTATACTTTTTCATAATATAATAAATCTCTCCTCGATATCTTAGAGCTATTATATTATCTGGTTCATTTTCTATCAATTTAGTTAAATCTTCAAGCGCTTTATCATATTTGCCCATAATATAATAAATTTCACCTCGATATTTTCGTGCTATTATGTTATTCGGTTCATTTTTTAGCAGTTTAGTTAAGTCTTCAAGCACTTTATCACATTCGTCTATAAGGAAAAATATTTTTCCTCGATGGCTTAATTCAAGTGCGTTACTTGGCTTTTTTTCTAATGATTTATTTAATTCATCTACATATAAATTAAAGGGTTTAAAACTTATTCTGTTTTGTTTCCATAGTGATAACCTTTTGTTGAAATCATCGTTAGTCATTACTATTCATAAAAATAAGAAATATTATTAAAAATTTTGAATATGTGTAAAAAATTAATAAATAAATTTACTTAGATATTCAAACTTCTTATGGCCAAAGTTTGCTTCTATAGATGAATCTTGCGATCTTAGTCCAATGCAAGGATACAAATTAAGTTTTAAATCATCGGGCAAATAGCATGCATTTCCTTGAAATATAGAAATTATCAAGCCTAATTAATTAATTAATTAATTAAAATGAAAAAATATAGAGATGGATTACCTAGGTTGAAACCATTCTTAGTATAAAATACAATCTTATTTCTAAAATTTAAAAAGCATCCAATTATATCACCAGTAGTATATGGCAGTCCCTGTGGCAGTCCATATGGCTCACAGATTTCAGAACAAAAAGAATATCCATCGTCACCATGGTAGCCACATCCCCAAGACTCTTCTTCCTTATTTTTTTTCATTTTCCTTATTGTTTTCTTATTTTCCTTACGTTTCTTATATTCCTGCCCTAAAGGTTATTTTATAGATGTTAATCTGTGTAATAATAAGAAAATAAAATAAAAATTTTGTTATTACCAGGCATGAGCATATCGTTTATATAGTCTGAATCATCTATCACCATTTTTTTATTGCTTTGCTTTGTACAATATCCGACTCCAATCATTCTATTAAGAAATAGATTTAAAGTAAAGATTGTAAGAATAAAAAAAGTAATGCTTATGCACGAAATAATTATTAATAATCTTACCCATTTTTTCCTCTATTTATAATTTTAATTTCAAAGTAAAATATCCCACATTGTGAAGGGATCGGATGATTTGCTAGGATTATAGCAGCTTTATAATCATTAGGATCTTTTTTATTTATCAACCCTTGCCAGAAGGGACGCCAAGAACCTTTAATTAAAAAGGTTGGTTTAATAGATTAAAAAGCTATAATAATATTCTTTGCTCTCATTTTTATCTTACCTGTATACATCACTTTAAGTCCACTTGGATCTATTTTAATATATGGCGATTTATCTTCAATATCCCATGCAGTCGGTAAAACAATATCATTGTACGAAGTTATTGATTCTAAATCTTCCATTAGCGTTAGGTTAAAATTCAATTCAGACAGATCTTTCATTTAGACGAGTAGTGACAAATAAATGCAATTTATGGAAATATTGATTTTGTACATACGATCGAACACAATGTACTATTTATATATGTATGTGTACGTCAGCAATCTCTAGAAGGGCGAAGTTTTTTTCATAAATTATTAAATATGATATTAAAGGTTAGCTAACGTTAATTGACGAATATAAATAATGTATTAACATTGCTAATAAGTTGAAATGTCAGATTCCTAAAAAAAAATCGATATGAATTATTTTAGCAGAATTTCAATATTTTATTTTAGACTCAAGAAAAGCTGCTGATAAATTTGATGGATTGTTCAAATGTAGACTTTATATAACCTCAATTAGTTAAATAGTCACTTTGCATTGTGCTCTGCCTTCAAACGATGTTCTTACTAGTGGATCTTTAAAATAAACTTATGATATTTCTTGGACTAGAGAAATACAACTTATTTGAGATATCTGTCGTGTTGTTTTTTTTTATATAGTGTAAATATTCTCTATCATGAGATTGAAAAGGAAAAATAGGTTGTTAAATATTATTTGAATGCCGCAGAGTGAAAATCTACTAGTAAAAGTTTAAGTTTTCACGTAGCGAATTTAACCCGAGGAATTAGGAACCGGATATTAGGGTAATTCAATCCTAATGTTCATGGTTTCTGATTTCGAATTAAATTAGTGACGTAGCTATTTTGAAATCAGTGATTCGTAAATTTTATTTGTTTTGATTTGTAAACTTATTTATATAATAAATAATTAATACTTTTTACGATCGTGAATTTTCTTTATTAATTTATTATGACTACATAATACAATAACAATATTTTATCAAAAACAAAAAAAGGCTACTCATTTCAGTCCCGAATATCACCCATTTCGTTTCTGATTTCAAAATTTGAAAATAGAAATAGGACGTTTTAAACCCCTATTTGTTTTTTGAAATAAGTTAACATTGAATCACCCTATTAATGTGATTCCAAATTTCTATAAATAATATCCAATTTTTACTGATCCTATGGTAAATTAAAGATGATTATGAAAAATAGATATTCATTCGAAGCGACCAGAGCACTAATAATCAGTGTTGTACATTTTCGTTGTACATTTTCATCGTCCAAAGATTTTTGAATGAAGTTTTCTCAATAAACACTTGTCCGAATTCAATAAAAAAATTTTTATTTTAACTCTACAAATATATAGAATTAAAATAAAAAATTTTTTATTAAATTTGGTTAGATAGTTATCAAAAAAACAAACCTTCACTCAAAAAACTTTGGACAATGAAACTGCTAATAATACTCATGATAAATTATGTAATAACGTAATTCTTCAGGGGCTAAATTCACTACGGTGAAAACTTAACTTTCACTCTGTAGAACTCATTTATGTTAAAAATATTATTCTGTAAAAAATAAAAATTTTATTTTTAATTATTCAAAACTGAAATTTTCCAAAAGTTACTGAGATCAAATATTATATCAGCATTATTCATATTCATATTATGAACGTATGCTTTATTTCTTCATCTTTCACCATCACATAACATAGATTATAATTAGTAAACTTTCGTCTTTCTTTTATTACTGTATTAATTAATAGCACGTGAATCTGATAGCAGATATGATCCGCAGATCACGAGACGGGATACGTAGAGTTATACGTCACGCATCTAGATTATGATAATCAGCCATTTTTTCTTTCTTCATGGATGCGACATTCATACAAGTTGTAAAATTTTGTAGTTCGCAACTTGAGGCATATCAACGTTGTGTTGAAACTCATTATAAAGATTGGACTTCAGAATGTCTTGAACAAAAACGTGAACTTACAAAATGCTCAGAAGAAAAGTAACTTTTTTTTTTTTTTAATCCTTATTGATTTGAAAATTTCGATTTACGAGTATTCATAAACTATTTATTGTGTAGTGTTCCAGAAATTAAAATGATGAAAGAAAAATGTCATGATGCTATAAATGCTTTTCAACAATGTCTAGAAAAAAATAAAGCTGATCCGGAAGTTTGTAGAGAGAAATTGAAAGACTTATACAATTGTACGGAAGCAACTACTATAGATATTACGGCATTAAATCAAAAAAACATGTGAATTTTATAGAAATGACGATAGAAATATAAATATATATTTCTTACACACATAAATCTATATGAACTATTCACTTGCTATAGTTAATAAAAAGTGAAAATTTTTATTTTAGTAATATCTGTCATATTATCAAAGAATAAAATTCTTACAGTTACCAAATATAATTATCAAAGTTATTTAGCATAAAATTTATAAATACAAATCACTAAATACTGTATATTAAAATGTTTAATAAGTTTATTAATAATTTGTCTTTTATGTTGTATAATTCGAAACTTTGTAGTTTTTTTTTTAAACTAATCTACAAAATTTTAAAAGTATAATTTTAACTATTTGTATATAGTTAAATTAATATATATTTAATATTATTTTGATACAGTAATATATTTACTAATTTGGATGTTAAATTAATTTTTTTTTCAAGTTCAGATGTTAGATTAAAGATTCAAATATTGCATTAAAACAATATACACAATAAAACAATATACAGTGTATACAGTACATATGATGTCTTTTCATTGTACTATTAAATATAAATATTGTTTATAAAGATATATTTCGACTTTTAGCTATGATGAAACATTATATCAATAATTAATTTAACTCATTTGGAATCAAGCTGAGTTAAAAAAAAATATTCATATACTGTATGACGTAAGATTAGATAAACAATAATAGTATAAACCTTTTTTAACTTTGTTTTTTACCCAAATATTATAGTACTTTACCTCAAAAAGCTCATCGTTACAAAATACATTGCTTACTAATCTTACTAATTCATCACCCACAGAATAAATTTAAGATGATATGATGACGACATAATTGAATTTTCAAAAAAAAATAAATATGTCGTAATTTTTAAGCAAATTACATATTTCGGGTGAACCTTCTAAAAGGAAGACTTTGTTAGTTTTGTTTGTTGTTTTTTTCTAATAGTCTACAAAATTATGAAATTTAAAAAATCTTTCTTTTATACTGATGATTTATATCAAGTTTTTAGATTATTGATTTTTATCATAAAATTAAAACGATTGATATTTAAGTTGACACTTACAATTCCTTCTTAAACCAAAGTCGCTATAACGTAAAAGTTTCGATACATAAACTGGTAGGAATGAAGCACTTCTAATAAATATAAAAATTCGATCAAATTATTTATATTTTTTTTTTTCGTTCTTGAAAAATTCATAATAATCATTTACTTAGTTTATAAATAACAATGTCACGCGAAGTTGACAACGAATTTCGTCAAAGAACTTTCCGATTACTTGAAGCTTTCGTTTACGACTATCTTAGAAAATCTGGGTGCATCGAAACAGCAAGAACTTATTATGAAGAGGCTCAATTAGATGATTGGCCACCACCTTGGTTAGAACAATTAGTAACATCATCCATTTCTCCTATTCCTCCAAGTGTGACAACAACTCAACGCTCTCGTGAAGAAAGTTTTGATGATAGTGAGCAAGCTTGCACTCATGAGTTTACTAATGAATTAGGTGGTGGTAGTTTTAATGAAAATGTGCATACTGATGGTAATTCTGACGGTGCTTCTAATGTTGATAGTATTCCAGATTTTAAAATCCAACTAGTTCAAGTAAAAGAAGAAGATTTGAAAATTAAAACTGAGAATATTAATGAATCAGTTTTACCACCTGAATTTACTCATATGTCTAAAAGTGATTACCTTCAATACGCTGAAAGATCACCTTCCATCATTTCAGCTACAACTACAAACGAACTTCCTGATTTGCTATTACCTTTAGAAGGACAAGATGATTTTCTGCAAGATTGGTGGTACATTGTCTGGGAGAATTATAAATCAATGTTTGAACGACAAACTGGAATTGTTCTTTCTACAGATTATTAATTGATGGATAAAAGTTTCAATGTGATGTTGAAATAATTAAATTATATAGCAAAATATAAATTTATCAAAAGATTTTAAACATGTTATAATAAATGTAATTAATTAGGTAATATATATTTATTTAAAATTTTAAATATATACAGTATATATATATTATATATTATATATTATATATTATATATTATATATTATATATTATATATTAAATATTTCAAAGTCTTTTAATTTTTTAACATGTAGTGATTTGATTCCTAAAGAATACTGGAATAATTGAAGTTACTCAGAACTTAGAATTTATAATAATTAAAAACAATAGAATTACTGGATGCTTAAATTATAATTATATATCGGTTTAAACATTGATATTGAGTTATTGGTAAAAATAATAGGCCCTACAGTGTGCATGACATAAGTTTAAACTAAATTTGTAAAAATTACTCCTTTACGTGGTAGTGCTTTCTTTCAAAAAATATATCAAATGACGATAAAAAGATCGAAACAACTTTATTTGTCATAACAAACCTGAAAAAATTTATAAGTTCTTAATATTTTTAATATTTGCTTTATTAATTTACGGACTTGGTTTCTTAAAATACCAGAATATCCAAAAGGCTTAGAAAATTGATTACTCAAATAATTTTACCAAATAGCAATTACGAAATCGTCAAAAAAGAACTATATAATGAGAATGGGATATTTACAATTGAGCTGTATTATCATTATCAGTTATCTGTTATGAGGATCCGTACGTATGTACATACATATGAAACACAAAAATTGATATCTGTTATGCCCATTTCAGTAGAAAATTTCTTCCAGTGAGAATTCTTAACTGCAACACTAGAAAAAGTTAGACGTCCGGGGATTCTAAGCTTCTGGTCAACAACAACAGCATATAATGTTTCCACATACAGTATGGGAGATGTCTACACAATATCATTAGAATTGAATTTTTACATGTAATGTAATTTATACTGCATATATTTTTTGAAAAAAATTAGTAAGTGAGAATTAAAATTTCTGAATTTAGAAAATTGGGTTTATAACAGGACTAAAAACATTATGAAACCGATTAGCTTGCTTTACCAGATTGATTCGTTGGCCAAATGTTCGCGGCTTGATCAAATTAAAAAAAGACGATCGACTTAAATAAATTAATTTTTTTTTTAATTATTTAAATTATCTAATTTCTTTTTCATCTTTTACCCAATATTACTTAGCGACCCAACGTCGAATGCTTATCTAAAACTTGACGTAAGCTTTTTTATTCTTACTTTTAATGGATGATAAATTATTAATTTTTTTAACTAACGATGAACAATTACTATTCGACAAATAATGTATTATATTGTAGTAATTCAAGCAAATTGTATTAATAGTCTTTTATTGAAAGTTTTCTAATAATTTATATCATATTATATTATATGTATATATTTTAATTTATTAAGGCCTTGCCTCAAGATTTTTTTTTTATAACATGTCTATATTATTTATTATACATAAACTTAGGTATTTAATTATTTGCGCTCTAAATCTACTCAACGTTTCTGTTCACTAATCCGGATTTAGATTATAAGGATCTAATATATATCACTTTGATGTTTTAATTATTAGGATTAAGCATAACCATATTACTATCTTTCGCAAATTCGTATTATCTTTCGGTATAACCATATATTGTTACTACATTTCATATTAGGTTGGTGTCATCTAATTTTCTATAGTCTGAATAATCTAGTTTCGAACTACCCATTAAGTGCTTTCTGGTTAGGTCTTAGATTTATTTTATTTTATATACTGTACTATACTATAAAATATAATAAAATATATATACTGTATTATATATAATAAGTACAGTATATTTAATATCCAATATGATTTGCAAATACAATAGTTTAATTAAATAGATAAATTTTTTAATATTATTTATATAGTGTATTAATCTATATTTTGATATTGAAAATTTAATATATTATATTATATATAACAGATAAGCAAATAAAAAAATTAAAAGTTTTTAATTAATCAAATTTTATACAAAAAATTACTATAAAAAGAAAGATATTAAAACTTTTAGTACGTACTAAATACAGTAAAATAAAAAACATAAAAAAAAAATTATTTATACAATGTAATTTATATAAATTATACAGTAATCTGTTACATGAAAGTGCAGAAGTACGCGTTATTTTGGGACGTGCATGGGCGTTATACGTATGGAAATTAACCAATACTATTTTTGGGGACGTAAATATCACTATTTCGAGAATTTACGGTTAAATAGATGACCAAGTAAATACGTATTATAAAAGTAACTAGACGATCATCTGTATATGTATATGATCACATGCAATTATTGTAAGATGACGTTATTTGCATGGTTTTCTTCCCCTTTTGTCACCTACATTTAGTTGGTAAAGGGAGTGATTTTTTTTTATTACTAAAATAAATTGCTCCTAGGGGATGTTAACCGAGTCCTGAATAGATCTCGGGTTCTTAAATCACATGAAAACATATACATTAATACGTATAGGACTTGGATCCTGGATCGATTAATTTAAATAATACAGAATTAATTAATTAAATGGACTTATTCAGAAGATCCGATTCAAGATACTGCATAGCGATAGTGGTCTAAATCCTACTTTGCGATTTTAAGGAATTGAGTCACAGGACCAGATCGGTCTGGACACATCCTTAATTATTGTATATCTTTTTAAATGTAACCTACAGTATACTGTATAATACTTCATTGTAATCTATAGGTTTTGAAATTTTATTATCAAAATTCATATAGGAACGAACTAAGAATGACTAGAAAGTGTAAGGAGTAAAGTCAAATTTCGAGCGTATGCAAGAAAATTATGCAATTCAAATCAATGCTATGTTTCTGAATGAACTGAACTTCTTTATAGGTCATAGTTCTTAAAGTTTTTAGCTTAGTCGAACAGAGTAAAAAAAAAAAACATATTACTCGTATATCGATATGATTTTCATAAATAAATTGTGCTAAAATATAAGATTCAAACTAGTCTATTACTATCCAATTTAGGCTTAACTAAATTTGGAAAAAAATTATTTACAAAAAAAGGGATCTACTATCGCAATGATTCAATTTAACTAGGTATTCAATAAAAACATAGATCCTTAGACGTAAAAGGAAAATGATACGTTGCTGGTTCATAGAAAATAATGGAAATATTTAAAAATATTGTTAACTATAAGATGAGCAAATAGCAAATCATGTAAATCCAGCTATCGAAAAAAATTAAAAATAGAGCTGCTTATAAGAAATTTAATTTTACTATTAAATTTATTGGCCAAAATGAATGTAACGATTCATTACACATTACTAAGCTGTAATGACAAAAAACTTTTAGAAGCGGACAAACCGGATCAAAGAATTTCTTTCGGTTTATTCTAAAATTGTGAATGAAATGTTGTTTAGAACCAATGAGAACGATTGAAATTATCTCTTAGGAACATTATATTATTTTATATGAAGGTCATTGCCGAGGATTTTCAAAATTTCCCGTCTTTTTTGGTCACGAGAAATACAATTTTGTTAATAATTTTAGTAATATTGTCAAGGTCCTTTGTATGTATGTTATAGACATCGGGGTTTACATATTTTTCTAAAAAAAATTCTGGTATAAAAAGGAAAAGATTTAATAAACACTATTTTAGTTATTACGTAAAAAATTATGCGGATCGAAGTTTAGCACGTGATATTTGTCCAAAGACTTTTTTAGTACGCTGTAAGGATGACAGCATAAAAGGGATCATTGATTTTTTAGGATATCTTTTTCTATAACAATCTAACTGTTCGGAGACATTTTATTCATTTATATGATTTATATGATATGAACAATTTTACTATAAAAGCCTCGCGTTTGCTTCAAGTAATCTGTTAGTGTTACACGGGCTAGATTTTCATCGTGTACGTATTCGTGTATTTGATGATCACACCATATACTATCATTATAATGCCATATACTATCATTATAATGCCATATACAATTATTATAATGCCATATACAATTATTATAATACCATATATTATCATTATAATAGGGTAAATCATTGATCATATGAAGGCTATCAATTTTTTTTTTAAAGTTATGATAACAAAGAACGTATGTACATGTATTCCAGCTCCGAAACGTACGTATGTACGTACGTCAGTACGTAACTGTGACGTACATCTGTCGAAATCAGTTTTCTTTTTACTGCACAATTCAGCAATTGGTAAATCGATTTAAAGTTTGTGAAATCATTGAAACTAGTTAAAAATTATATATATATAAAATACATTAAATAGTATAATAATTATTTTCAAAAAAATATTGTAAAGCCGAAAATGCTTGGCTAAAATAAGTTTTTTTAAAATAATTTAAACATACTTAGTAATTCATCCAAATAAAATTAGAAATTTCATTTTGGAATAGTGCGCAAAGTTCGAAAAAATTTTTCTAATGTGCGTAGCTATATTGGGAATCTTAGATATTTATTATAAAAAGATAAAAATGAATTAAAAACGAAAAATATCATGACACGGGGTTATAGCTCAGCGGTAGAGCGCTTGGTTTGCATCCAAGAGGCCCTGGGTTCGATCCCCAGTAACTCCATGTTTAATTCCTAAGTTTATTTCTTTTTTTTTTGGCCTAATTCTTTTTTGGAACGTAACGTTACATAACAAATAATACATCAAATTACATATTATCGCATCACATTGCGCAAATTTTAATTACCAATTATATCAAGATTTAGATTACACATGTATACACGTCATGATAAAGGATAGAAGCTAATAGTAATGAAAAAATATTACAAGTATATACTTTTTAATAATATTCATTATTCCATGCTTAGTTTCGATAGCATTTCAATAATCAATTAATAATTTTTTATTGAAAAAAATATATATAATACTTTTGAAAGAAAACCTAATTCATAATAATTCTACGTAAAATGTTTTATTACCAATTTTACAAACCATTTTATTGATAATAAATACATAATCTCTAATGATATCCTCAAATCCTGAATTTATAAGCGCGTCACGTAATGATTCATATATTGGCACATCTCCAACTGACCATAGTATACTTGCATGAAATCGAGGATTCTTTTTTTTTAATATAAAAAAACGTGAGAAAAAGATTGAATAATTTGGTCACTAAAATTTTAAAGAGTCAATTACCTCATAAAACTCTTCTTGTCGAAAATCTTTTGCTACTTTGTTAACGTGTTCCAACAATGTCTTCAACTAAATTAATTATACACATAATAAATACCAAGAATTCGTTTGAATTATTAAAGATTCTAAAATTCTAATATGAATTCATATATACCTCGTTAACTCCTCTACCAACTTCTAAAGCAAGAAAAGATCTAGTTTTTTCGTCATTAATGAAATGACTAATTTCCGAAAATGATAAAGAAAATCTATTAAAAAAAAAGTAAATAAAAATAAATTAGAATTTACTTTTCTGAAATAAGTAATTTGATTTAAATAATTAAATAATGCTAGATCATATTAATTTACCGTTTTTTATCCTCAAATCCTTTTCTTAAATTATCCCAAAATCTTTCAATTTGAAAATATTTCAAAAATAAAGGTCTAGATAAACTAATATGTAATGTTTCTGGTGTATTAACGGGTTGTGTCACATCATTGTGAAAAAATTTAAAATTCGTTTCATCATCTAAATCATCACTATTATCATCATCATCATCATCATCATCATCAATATATGAAATGATTTCTATATTATCATTCGCGGCATTCTGCGCACAGATTTTCATTCTCCGAAGTAATGACTTGAAATCCTCGGGGATAGCAACTGTAAATAATGAATGTAAATAATAAATGTAATGATCTTATAATCTTTATAAAACTTTTATTAAAAATTAGTCATTTATCGATATTAATAATAATAATAATTTTATACCTTCCATGTATACATGCGTAGCCCAATTACCTTCAACATGTGGTTTGGTTCGTATTCGCCCTTGATGATTTGATGGGTCTTCTATATGTTTCGTATAATTTTTTTGACGTTCATCTATAATTTGAATTCGTATACTCAGTTAATCATTTCTATATGTATCATAATATTATTAGGTCTTCTAGTTTGAATAAATTCTATTTTTTTATACCTTGATATAATTCTAAAAATTCTAAGGGCAATGGTGGTAATTTCTTTGTTGTTACCGTCGGTGTTAGCACAGATCCACGTTTTTTACTTTTAAAGTTTGAAATTATTAGTATGAATGAAAGAAAGGGAAAAGTAATTCGATCATGTTAAAAGATTTTATTCACTTTGTTTCGACATGTTTATCAGACTCTTCAGCTTTTCGTTTTACACCTTTTTCTTTTTCAGAATGTGAAGTTACTTTATGTTTTTTACTTTGATTAATATCATGATCTGATTTTTCTTCACTATCGTTATCCGAAGATGAAGTATAATCAACTAATCCTTTCATATTTAAGTAAATTTTATGTAGATCAAATTCATTTTTTATATTTCAAAATGCACGTGAGAAATTTGATGCACAATTCGATCAAAGACAAATGAAAGACAAATGAAACAGACTAATATACAATATATTTATTACAATAGTTCAACCTTTAAAGTTACAGATAAGATTAAAATTGTAATTTTTTCAGGTTAGAATGTATTTACGGTATTATGTTTAATGAATAATTTTGTGTGTAAATTTTTGAATTGAAATTTTGAATGAATGAATGATGTAAAAATTAAGTTTGAAAGGTATTTCTGATCGATCAATCTTCTTCATCAATTGCCCAACGACCTGAAGGTTGAGACTGTGAAGTTTGTTCCGTAACCGGCGGACGTTCTATATTACCTATACCGGTCGTTACTGTAAAAAATTGTTTGTATTTGTTTTATCAGTATTATGTAAACAGAAATTAAAACCAAAAAATAAAGATTTAAAAAAGGGTGATAATTACAATGTCGTTTCAATCCTTTGTCAAAATTGTTTAATACTATTATTGACCATATTAGTGTCAACTATTTTAAAGATAATATTTCATTAATTAAAATAAATTCAAATAAAAAAAATTCAAAAAGAATTAATTTACAAAATTTAAAAATAATATTATGCTTACCAATGCCATTATAATACCAAAAACAACTAATAATTAAAGATAATTAAAGATAATTAAAGATAATTAAAAATCATTAATATTTGGAACGATGAGAAATGATGAGAAAATTTGTAAAGGGAACTTACTAAAAATTATGAAAAAGTACCAACTATCTTGTGCGCTTGTACCAATTGATTTTACGAGAAGAGCTATAAAGTCGGCAATCGGTATTAACCATAAACCAATAAATATTTTCATTCCTAAATGGGATTCCTCCCTTAACTTTTATGTTAAAAACATAATTAATAAGTTGCTCAAATAATATAACAAACTTTGTACACAAAATATTAAATCTTACCATATGATAAGCGAGAGCTTGTAAAATAAATATTAGAACTGTTACAATCACATGGAACCAATATAAGAATGTGTGTTTGAGCGTTTCATTTTGCGTAAGTACTACACAAGCCACTATGGATAGAACCACCATAAAGAAAAGATCCAGTTTCAAATGCATGACAAAAATTAACATTGACCTAAAAATTTCTGAAAGAAAAAAAATAATAACAATAATAAATAATTAATTAATTAAGTAAATAAAATATAGTCAATAACAAATCGAGAAGAAAAAAAAAAAGAGAGATTACTTTGCATATTACGATCAGCACCAATTCTTTTGTAAATATTCCATCCAAATTGTTGATATAATTTCCAAGTAAAAAATCCCATCATAGTCGCACATAGCAGTAGTATTACTATTGATGGTACTTCATAGAATTCAACTCTAAAGTTGTAACTTAAGAATCCCGGTACACATTCAACTGCTTGGTTTCTCCACCTCAGAACTTCTACGATTTGTATCTAAAAAAAAAATAAAAAAATTTACATAATTTACATATAAATAATTCACAAAAAGTAAATTATTAATATTATTAATGTTATTAATGTATAATAAATACATACAGCAGCGACTATTCCTATCGCATAGTTTACTACTACTACAGTTATTATTTGTATTGTATTCTGATTGAAAATCTAAAAAAAAATAGAATAAAACTTGTTAAAAATCTTAAAAATCACGATAAACGTCACGTACGATACATCATGATGACACTGGAATGAAAACATACCGCATCATAGCAAAAGAATAATAAAAATACATTGGAAAGTAGGATTATGACATTTTCTCCAACAATATTGTACATACGCGCAACAATATTTGCTTTGCAGTCGAGAGCGGTAGGATTAGAAAGGTCAGTTATATTTTTATTCTGCCACATTTCTTGAAAAAGTGAAGAAGCGTTTTGGTTTCGGCCAACAACAAGCGACTGAATTATTATGGTAATGAAAGTCTGGACAATGGAAGTAATGATAAAGAGACGAGTCCATTTCGACTCAACCATCTTTTCATACTTTAGAAGAGTCAAGTTTTCTTATTAACACATAAACGTGACATATCAGACAACATAAAACTCTTGTTCATTAAAGTGACAGGGGCCACCGAAAATAATAGTATACACATACCCGCCTCAGAAACCACAGTTTTATTGTTTTTATTTTAAATTCTACCATTCTGCTTTCCATGTTAAGCATATTAAACGAACTTTACTTTTTAAAATTCGAAAGGAATTAAAGCAAAAAAATACTTGCTTATAAAAAAATTATTATTATTAACAAAAAAAAATAATATTTAAGGTTAAATAAAAATGTCGAAATCTCCAAGAGTGGTTCTTTACAAAGAGGAGATTAACGTTCCATTGTCAATCTAAATGAATTGAATTTTTTAATATATTTATACTCCAAAAAAAAAAATTTTAATTACCATTTTAGTATAGTATATTAATATATGCTTATATGAGTTGCTTCTAAGGTTATGAATAAAAAAAGATAATTTCTATTACCACATACATATCAATACTAATATGCAAACTAATAAGTATTAATTCTAACCCGCAAAAGGTAGTACATCCTAAATTGACAGGATCATCTTTTCCTCAAGTGGCAACAAAACTTAATGATAAAAATTGGTCTGTTGTAATTTTTGTGTTAAGATATAATTCCAAATTTTCTGGAGAAATTCCAATTTTTATTACAGTATTATATCACATGAACAACTTTCAACCAACTTTTTTTCAAGGTTACGCAATATGTAAAATTGTAAAATTCCTTGCATAAAGGGAAAAAAAAAAAACTTTTAAGTACGTACAGTACTTATTATGTATATTTACGTATGTACAATAAAAAAAAAACATATAGAGATAATAAATACCAATTTAATTAAGCCCATGTGTATGATGGTATCCTGTTATCAGATTTGTTCAAGTACAAGTACACGACCGTAACATTATGATTAACACCTAATTATGGTACAACGATGCTGAAAATTATTTATTGGTCACACGGTGTGAGAACCAAAAGGTGCGGATAACTGATATAATAAATATAAATATTGCATTAAGTAAAATGAATAACGCACATATGTAGGAAAAGGAGGTAAAATAATAATAATCTGATATTGTGAAAAAAAACCAAACCAATATAGGTAATGTGATTTTTGTCTCTGCACATTATTACTTTTTTTTTAGTGTGGCTTTGTTCAAAATAATATCCATATATTATTTGTTATATAACGAGTGACGATAATACTATTTCAATTATTCTATACGTATGAGTGGCAAAAATGTCACTTTGAATAGGCCTAATTTGTCTTTTGAATGTACCGTTAAATTTTTTAACTGGCTCATTATTAATAAGAGGTCTGTCAAACATCTGAACGCTTCCCTGTTCGGTATGAGTTACGCCGAGACTGACTCGGAGTCTGCGCACCGATGTTGAATGTTTCAATATCGATGTCATAAATTTACTAAATTTGGTGCACTTTTAACCAATTTGCTCACATTTCAAATGTTTCACTACACAAGAGATGGCTTTCTATTAGAAAATTAAAATATTTTAATCAATTAATATTTATTTATCTATTTTGCATTGTCTGATGTTACAATTCCTAATAACGATAAAGATTCAAAAATATATATATTTCTTACGTACGTATGTACGTAATTTCATTTGTTACTGTCATTTAACAAATTATATTCGTTATCGTTATCAATTGTTGGCTTTTAAAGTGTGACATTCTTAAGTTATATTAAAACAAATAACTAATATATATTTGGCTATATACATCTTTTCAAATACGTTACCTTTAACGTTAAAAATTTTTAAGTTTAGCCTTTTTTCTCCTGTTTTCATTGCATGTGATAAAAACTATAACGCTTAGTGTAAATTTTATATGACCAAAAAACCTTAATGCTATTAACAAATCAAATTGTGGTAATACGAATAGTGCTAGTATTAAATTATAATAGTAATTATGTTTTAAGTTAAGACTATCATAATAACCTGTGTTCGACATGGCAAAAACAAATACTGTATGCCATTGTACTATAAAGTATAATCTTTTTCATATATGTATATATACTTACTAAAAGGTATACTTTATGGTTACAATTTTTTTAAAAAAACCTTTCCATATTAATTACTAAAAAGAGATCTCATTTAGATGCGACGTACTGTATTACAACTTTTTTGTACAAATTATACGTATAAATTGAAATAACAATTACATCTTTTTTTTAAAAACAATGAATAAAAGAATATTTTAAACCAATATTTTTTATTGCATTTTGATTATAATTATTATTATTATTCATCACAAAAATACAATTTGTTAGTAACTTTTATAATTCATTTTTTTAATTCCAATTTTGCATATTTGTTATATTATTTATATAGGCGCCAATTTTTTAAAATAAAATTTCAAAAAAACTTAATACAATTTAAATTTTGTTAATAAATTCAAACTTTTGTTATGTTTTTTTATACAGTATATAAGCGCCAAAATTTTAAATTATATATAAATTTAAACTGATATAACTTTTAAAAACAAGAATTGTTTGAAAATTTAATAGTTTAAACAAAAAAGCTATTAAATATACAAACCATTTTTTAAAGTTTTTTTGCATTTAAAAAGTTATATTAATAAATAAGAATTAGAAAAGTGTCATTTATTAGCTAATTTTTTGTAAATAGTAAAATATTTTTCCTTTCTCAAATAATTATGATTATATATAAACATATATACATGCGATTTATTGGCATAATATTTTGGTACTTACCCCTGCAAAAAAAATCAAATAATAAATGACATTTCTTTTATTATTTATACTACTAGTAATATATTTATTTTTTTATTTTATTTTTAGCTCTTAGATGGTTTTGTTGAAACTCAAATACAAGCAACTTTATTTAAAACCTTAGTAATGATAAACTATTTCTAAACTAAACAAATTAAATTGCAAGCCTAACATCTTATAGCTGCAATAAAACATGTTTATCAGTAACTCATTGTACTGATTTGTATTCAAGTTGAATAGATTTTGTTAGCCCATCAAAAGCTAATTTTTTCAATTTTTTTTTTCTTTACTAAAAGCAAAAAAAAGTGATAATTTTATATCAATACAAAACCACCTATTAACAAAAAAAAGAAATCTATATTTAAAAAAAAATAAATTAAATAAAAAAAAAAATTTAAAAGAAAACAAAAAGAGAAAAAGAAAGTGCAAAAAAAATAAAAAGAAAAGCTTAAGAGCTAACAAGGTAAAAAACTACTTCTATCAAAAGCAATAAAACAACCTAAAAGTTAAACGAAAAGCTGAAGAGTCTGATAAACATGTCGAAACAA